TCTCTCTCTCTCTCTCTCTCTCTCTCTCTCTCTCTCTCTCTCTCAGTGGAGACCCCCCCTGGTTGTTTCCTGTGCAGCGGAGAGCCCCCCAGGCCCCCAATGGTAGAAATGGGCCCCGTACCGGGCCAGTGCGAAATGCGTTCGGGAGGCCAAAATCCATGCTCGACCGAACGCGTTCGGTCTCCGCTCGGCTGAACGTCCGAACGTGTTCGGATTTCAGTGGGGGCACCGAACGTGTTCGGCGTGCTACACAGGACCTGAATACAGAATTAGGCGGACTGCCTTTCCAGCACCCGCGCCATCGGTTAGCGCAACCCCGCAGCGCTAGTGCCCGCACCCAGGCTACCCATGCCCCGCCTCGTTTTCGAATTCGAAAACGCCAGCGGACATCGCCCCCCATGCGCGTGCCTGGCCCGCGTACCCATCACCAGCCAGCACGATCGCCATCACGAGGCCATGTGCAACGAAGGTGAAATCTCCCATAGCCACATCCTCATCAAGAAGCAGGGCGACCAAGGTCGCCATCCTCCTGGCCAAGTCGCCGGAGGAGCCCCCCCAAAAAGCTAACGACAGCCAGCCAGCACGCTCGAAGGAGGAATCACAGACTGCAGTCCACAAAACTGGAGCGTCGCCCAACTCCGAGCCAGCCATCTCCTTCATCGCGAGAAGGTCAGCGGACCGCGACCCCCAGATATCGCAACTTCCGCCGCCCCAACCAGTGGAGCTCCATGGTGCAAACGGCCACCGCCATAGCCCCTTCCAGCACCCACCAGCAGCCGAACTGAAGATCGCAGCCGAGGACTGCTCCCGCCATGTACTATCACCGGTACATTCGGGCTGATCCCACCAACGCCGCCCAGCCTTTCTTCCATTCCCCCATACCCCCCTCCTCAACATCCAATCCCAATCACACTGCCTGATCGCCTACCTTCCCACCCCCATCTTCTCCTCTCCTTCACTAACCTCCCTCAAACTCCACTCAGAACTCCCTCGTAGCCGACAACGACGCCCCGTCCACCCCAAACCATCCCAAACCCCACCGCGCAGCACCCCAAGCTCAACCCCGCTCAAAGCGGATCGAGTGACAATCACAAAACGCATGAAAAATAAAAGGATTCATTAAAATTAAAAACAGAATCGGGTCTGGGTCCTTTCCTCCCTCTGCCCTCTCACTCTCGAACGCGATCTCGCCCTCTTACTTACTCTCCTCCCTGGTCCCTCCTCCTCCTCCCTCCTCCCTTTCACCTCCAAGCCGAGCTCGTACCCCCTCACCGGCCCAACTTCGGCTTCCACCGCCCCTCCCCCAGCTCTCCTTTACAACCCCCCCCCCCCTCTCCTCCCTGCCGTTTCGCCCACACTTTGACACTGATGCATATCCATCCGCATGACCTATTCACACAGCTCCGCCCCCTCCTCTCCAACCTCCAAAACTTCTCCCCTCCTCCCTCCTCGCATTGCAGTAGTTTCCCTCCCTAGCTCCTTCATAACCACAAAAGCCCAGCGTAATCTCTCGCCAGCCATACCACGTCAGCACACAGCCGAAACCACCCCCTCCACCCCGTGCTCCCCCAACCCCTCTAACCCTCACGCTAACCCCTCTCCCCCATGCACACACTCTGAAACACTCGCCACATACTACCCATACGTAGCTACCGGCGAGTAACCAAGTACCTCATCAAACACGCAACAATCAGACCTACTTACCACAGATCTACAGCATAAGAAGAAAAGCAAACATTAAGAAAAAGCAAAAAGAAGCAGAACGCGAACAACAAAAAACAAACTAAGCAAAACAGAAACAACAAAACAAACAAACACGCTGGCCAGGAACCATTCTTCATTAGCAATAGGAGATCAGTAATTGACCCCAATCGATCACCAAACAGCAACCAGAGACCCTGTACGAGAGTCACGAGACTTTATAAAAGGCGAAAAGTTCAGAACTTGAAAACTTGTTAAACTCTCCTACCATTCATTCCAGCATGCAACGCTATCGCCTCCTTTCCTCTTTCTTGATGGGTCATCATCAATACCTTGCCGGGCAATGCGGTTCAGACTCTCCCTTTGCTGACATGCAAGATGCCTCACTCTTTCCTTGAAATATCGGTGCACCAGGTGGCAGAATTCCTCGAACCTTAGGGGGCACTTGGATGCAGATACCTGCAAAATAAAAATTTTAGTTCACACATTGAAGTTTGAACCTGAGCGTCAATTGCACAACCTGTCTGCCAAAATCCTCCAAAAAAAAAAACCATCAACAGTAGGCTTGTGGGGGACGGAAAAAAAAGGAGTGATTTTTCACGTCAATTGTGAGAAAAGCCAAACACACCAAGTGGAGGCATACATGTAAAAACAAAAGATGAAGACTGGACTTCCCCGCCTTCCCCGATCCCCCCACCCACCCACCCACCCACCCAACAGAAAGGAGCAAAACGGTGATTTTTGGCTTTGCAATAAAAATGAAAAGCAACCTATCAGGCAACCATCAATATCCGAATCTTCATCAGAACTTCCCGCCCCCCCAACCCACCCAACAGAAAGGAGCAAAACGTTGTCTTTGCAATAAAAATGGAAAGCAACCTATCAGTGAGACCATAGTAAGTGACTCCCTAGGGTTTAGGGTTTAAGAATCGAGAACACCCAGCACCAGTACTGACAATGCACACAGAAAAAGGACACTAAGTCCGAGCAAACTCAGAACTAGGATCGCTAGCGCCCGAATTTGCAAATAGGGTAATAGCAAATACCCAAACAGAGGGGGAGGAAAAGCCAGCAAGGGTCTACGGCGCTTACAAATGTAGAAGTAACCAAACCCGACAGCACTCAGGGTTTCAGCAAAAACCAAAGAAAGACACCAACCCAGCAGTTCCAGCAAAGTATAGAAAGATCCCACAGTTCAAGAGCTGAGAGGAACATACTGATGGGAACTCAAGGAGATGAACGGTTTTCACCTTTGCAGTAGCAGATACAGATCCCAGGGCTTGATCCCTAGTCCTTACCCTACCGTGTACAGTACCTGTGTAGACCCCGAGAGTTGAACCCGTGACCTGTGTACTCGTAGGCAACTGGTAGGCCGTCATAGGTCCGTAGGTTGTAGTAGTTCGATCTGTAGGTCTGTCGAACAGAGGTCTTAGCTGTAGTCCTTCTAGAAGGTCGAGCAAGTGGGCAAGTGGTGAACCAACTGCAGTACGTTCGCAGTACGATAGCGGTAGGATAGCAGTGCRTACCMAGGTAGTCAGCGGTGCAGTCCAGTCAGTCCCAGTCCRGTCCAGCAAGTACCATGAGGGACTGTGTGCACCATGGGCCGATGGAAAGGGGCAGACCAACGAGCTTCAGAAGTATAAATCAAGAGGCAGCGCCCAGCCATTCATTCATTCCTGCGTGAGCCATGCGGAAGCGCTGCCACAGCGACTTGTGCAAGGAGGTCTGCAGTGARCCCGAAGCGGAAGTGGGCGAGAGAGAAGGAGYGTAGCRTAGCGATAGGGTAGTTGCGGCCATAGCCGCCATAGCTAGAGTTAGTGTGTAGCGTGGGTGTGTGTGTGAGTGCAGAGTAACGCGTGTGGGATATCCAGGGTGATCCGGGGTATGCGAACAGAGAGTTGTTTGGGCGCTGAGTCACCATAGCCATCACAAGTGAACTTGTATCTGGACTGTGTCTTCGGCGACCATATCTCTGAGTTCTGTGTGGGCGCTTGTCGCCAGTTTGCTGTGCGCCTGTTTGCATGCATGTGAGTGTGAAAGAAAGCGAGTCTGATTGCATTGGTATCAGAGCTGGTACCCGCTATTCCATGCGCGCCGTCGTGTGCAGGGAGTGATGCTCCATAGCTGAGGTGGCCGCCAAGAGAAGAAGTCCGCCATAGCGGACCTGGAGGTTGGAGAAGCCGCCGCGCACCTGCAGAGAAGACCACGACGAAGAAGAAGACGGAGAGAGAGAGGAGAGAGAAAGGTTGAGCGATACAAGATTGGGTAACTATGTACCTGCTGCGCTGGAGATACCGCTACGGCAAGAGAGAGAGAGAGATGAGCGATACAAATTTGGCTGTTACGTACCTGTGAAGTGCAGTCCCGTGAAGAAGAAGAAGAAGGCCATAGCCGCGGAGCTTGACCATGGAGTAACGAGGGAGGTGAAGAGGGACAGAGAGGAAGAGACCGATCAGAGTGAGGAAAGCCATAGCCGAGAGAGGTGAAGGAAAAAAAAAAAAAAAAAAAAAAAAAAGAGAGAAGAAAGGAGACAGCCAGGGTGAAAGGAGGCGAGGAAGGTGAAGAGAAGAAGAAGGTTGGTTCAGGAAAGTGAAGCCGGCCGCCATAGCCGGGAAGTCGACTGGAGGCGTTGACCAGAGTTGACTGGCGTTGACCGCGAGTTGACCGGAGTTGACCGGGGGTTGACCAAGGCGTTGACCAAGACCGTTGACCAAGACCGTTGACCAAGACCGTTGACCACGATTTTGACCAAGCTGGAGCCGGTATATTCTCGCCAAGCCTTCAGCCTATCCCCTCCCCCTATGGATGTGCACACACCCTATGGTACTTGCTGAGTCAAGTCTGTCTGTCTCTTCTTTCTGCATCGAGTCTCTTTTGTCCAGGTGATAGAACTCTGTGGATGAAGGATAGGGCCTTGTTGACCAAACCCCTACCGGACTAAGTAGGGCTAAAGACTGTGTCTGACGACTCGACTGTCCCGGAGGCCTAACCCTCCCAAGGACCGGTACTGACCGGCAGGCTGCTCGGTGTCGCATGGTAGGCCCGAAAGGCTGAGTTGTGGGCTGCACAACAAGCATTCTAAGTGTTGAGAGACCTGCTGATCACGTCGTCCTGTTTGTGACGTTAAATAATTCCTGAGGAGTTACGGGGGATCTCCTTAAATGCCTCCTGATCAGCAACAGGTCTAGTAGTGACAGCCTTAGAATAGGTCTAGGCTAGAGACCGTAGTTGACAGGATCCCTGTCCGGATTCTGTGAGTCTTAGATTGAGTCAGTCAGTTTGTCAGTCAGGGGTTAGTCAGTCAGTTTGTCAGTTAGGGGTTAGAGTCTAAGTGGTGAGGTTTGGAACCGCTAATCCGGTTGTGCACTAATCACTATGGTTGACACCCGTAGTGGGAAGAGCACTAGCCCCTATACCTAGGCTCAACAAGAGCAGATGGCCGCCTTAGTAAAAGAGAATAAAGAGAGGAAGGAGCTTTTGAAGCAGGCGAAATTGAAAGCGATCGTAGAGGAGCAGGCGGCGAAAATGAAGAAACCGGAGGAGGAGATGGAGGAGAAGAAAAAGGCTTCTGAAAAAGAAGCGGCAGCAGAAGCAGAAGAGGAGAGGAAACTTAGGGAAGCAAAAGGGGAGAGTAGTGGCACGAAGAATGAAGATGCACAAATGGAGAAGAAGATTAGTGAGTGAATCGCTAATTTATCGTTGGGGGAAGATGAGGAGGCACAATTGTATGTGCCACAGGATGAGAAGCAAGTGTTTGCCAGGGCACAAGCAACAATTGAGGACCCCCTGGAGCGACAAGACGCCGAGGAAGAGAAGAAGTTGGAGTGGAAGTTGAGGATGAAGAGGGAAAAGAAGCGAAGAAGGGAGGAAGTTAATTGGTTGACCACAGAGGTGGAGAAAGTGAGGGCCTGTAGACAAGAGGTGCAGGCACAGACAGATGTCTCGGCCAAGATGGACAAGATGCCGGGGTACTAGGAGGTATTGAGTGAGGCCTGCCTGGAAGAGCGCCAAGCCTACTGAGGGCACGATGTGGCCCTGAGTGCCATGTGATCAAGGTTTCGAGACTTTGCGCGCGACATGGTCACCCATGTTGGGGGTGAAGTCGAGCGATTAAGGGAGAACGTAGGAAAGTTCTGTGAAGGCGCCATTGAGAGTGCCAAAGCAGTAGCCGCTGTCGAGAGTGAGGCCAGGCCTCGTAAAGAGCCCGTCAAGCTTAAATTCCCAGATGCATACGGCAGGAAGAAGGAAGAGAATTTTGATAACTGGGAAGCGAACGTTAATAGTTACGTATACTTACAGCACATCTTGACTGAGGAGCAAGTCCTCGTCGCCTTCCAGGCCTTCAAAGATGAATGAAGCGGCCAGTTTCGCCAGATCCCTTGTGCGCGCAGCCGGTTGTGAAAACAACCTGGTTGCATACTCTAAGATTACCCCTCTTCCTCAATTCTTTAAACTCCTGCGAGAGAGATTTCCTGACCCAACGAGAGGCGTTAGAGCCTCTGATAAGTTACAGACCATCCACTCGCGACAGTGGAGGAGTGCGAGAGCACTCAAAGCTGTCATGGACAACTTGGTAGCCGTCCCAGACCACGGGGTCACTGAGACCCAACTAGTCCAATTGTTTTATCGTGCCATGCCAAAGCCCCTGCATGGGCATTTCTTTGATAAGTCTCAACAGGCCGACATCACGTATGATGTGCTAAGTAGAGAGGTGGTCCTGTTCGAGTCAAAGTCCATGCCAGTATCCACTTTCTGGCATAAGGACTTGGATAAGGGGAAAAAGTGGAAAGGTCGTACCATCTCTGGCCAAGTCAGGGCCAAGGATCACATGATCCTTACTTTAGAAGAGGGTGGTACAGATGAGGTCCCCTACAGTGAGATTGAGTGGGGACTAGAGGAGGAGGACAGCAGGGTAGGGCAGGGGAGGTCCTATGCGGYWGTCGCGGCTGGAGGGAGGCCRCAAGGYAGAGGAGGAGGCCARGGCCAAAGGGGCCAGGCCATGGGAGGCCGAGGATCGGGCGCACAGGGGGTTGGCGGACAAGGGAACCGCCAAGTGGGAGGTAGGGGTCAAGGTCCCCCACCGAATCGTCAGGGTCCTAGTCGGTTCCCGCCGCGACGAGGTGGAAGGCCACCTCAACAGTCAGGAGGATGGCACCCAGGCTTGCCGCAAGGCAGGCCATGGGAAGATCTGGGCTTGGACCAGCGCGTATGGCAGGAACGCGTGGACTTGGGTCAGTGCGTGTTTTGTGGTGACCCTGCCCATGTAATTAAATTTTGTCCTAAGTATAGACAGGCCCGATGGGCTGCCCAGCAGTCAAAAGGCAGCCGCCAGTAGGGGTCACAACTGGCCTTACTTCAAGGCCATGTTGGGAAGCGAGCACGCGCATACAGGAAACTCCCAAACTACATGAACCTATGGCAGAGGTTGCAGGCCAGTGCCTAGCTAACTGTCCAAAGAC